GACACATACTTTTTGTGTATATGTGTCCAGGGTCCAAGACATTCATCACATTCTTAAAGGGATAGAATTTACCACCACCCGCCCCCCCAAAAAATTAAGAACTACTGCAGAGATGAAGAGAGGTGCAATGACCATCAGTTGCATTTGTAACTGGAGAAGAGCTCATGAAGGAGGTACGGCTTGGCCTGAAAACAAAAGGGTGGCGGTAGGGCCTGGTTAGGTGGTCAGAGGAGCAGACAGCACCAGGAAAGGTGTGAAAGGGAGGTGGGGCAGAGAAACAGGGAGGAGGAACAGGTCTACTTTGAGTTAAGAGGAGAAGATGTAAGATTGCTTAGAAAAGGGAAGTCCTTCAAAGTCCAGGAGATATTTACACTGGGATTATACGGCACAAAATGTCTTGCTCATCCCACACAGAAAATGTCAGCCGGGTGCGGCGGCTCATGCCTGTAATCCCAGCACTTTGGGAGGCCAAGGTGGGTGGATCATTTGAGGTCAGGAGTTTGTGACCAGCCTGGCCAACGTGGTAAAACCCCATCTCTACTGAAAATAAAAAACTTTGCTGGTGTGGTGGTGCATGCCTGTAATCCTAGCTACCTGGGAACTGAGGCAGGAGAATCACTTTAACCGAGGAGGCAGAGGTTGCAGTAAGCTGAGATCATTCCACTGCACTCCAGCCTGGGTGACAGAGTAAGACTCCATCTCAAAAAAACAGGCCAAAAAAAAAAAAATTGATAGTGTCTTGTGCCAACTGTTAGCAGACACACACAGGCATGCACGTGCATCGTACACATACCCACACAAGCATTAAGATGCATTTTCTTTAAGAAATGCAGCCTTCTTGTTCTCTTTGCCACTATTTTGTAGAAGAAATCCCCTACAAAAGCACTTTGGATTAAAAAGCCAATATGAAACCATGAACCCTGATCAGAAAAGAGAAGACAGGAGAGAGAGGTATGAAGGAATGATTACTTTCTACTAAGTCACATTGGTCTCAACACTTGGCTCTGAAAAGCTTGGCTTATTTTCACCTCTGAATCATGAATGAGAAAATGCCCTGCAAACTGTAAAGCACTTTGTAAATGTTCTCATTATTATGCTATTCCATCTCATATGAAATATGTTTCCTTTTCCTCTCTGCTTTTCTAAATCAAATCCATCCCTAAATGCCTGGCTTAAAATGTAAGCTTTCTTTGACTATTTCAGCAGACTATGATCTTCCCATCTCCTCCAACTCCGTCAAATTTATAACAAGAGTCTTTCACTTGGCTCAGCATCACAAACTACACTCCCTTGTTTGTTTTTGCTGGGTCTCCGTCTTGCCTTTCAGTACAAAGGTGTTCACTGTTGTTTGCCACTCACTAAAACAGTGTTTGGCACAGAGTAGGTGTTCAATAAATACTTTTTTTTTAATGGAGTCTCGCTCTGTCATCCAGGCTGAAGTGCAGTGATGAATCTCGGCTCACTGCAACCACCACCTCCAAGCTTCAAGCAATTCTCCTGGCTCGGCCTCTTGAGTAGCTGGGACTACAAAAGTGTGCCACCATGTCCGGCTAAATTTTTTTTTGTATTTTTAGTAGAGACAAGGTTTCACTATGTTGGCCAGGCTGGTCTTGAACTCCTGACCTCAAGTGCTCCGCCCACCACAGCCTTCCCCAATGTGCTGGGATTACAGGTGTGACCTACTGCAGCTGGCCCAATAAATACTTATAAAATTGTGTTAATGACACAAAGTTTCTAGAGATGTTTTGTACTATTTTTAGTTTATGCCATTCCCATAGTAGATAACCATTCAATTACATATCTAAAAACTGGTGATCTGGTCTGAACATCTTGTCTGTTTAGCCATGAGTCCAGGCAGGCTGCAGACAAACAGCCACATGACCCTTCTTTGCCTGGGTCAGATAACGTCTCACTAAGCATTCTTACTGCTCTTCTTTTCCTTTACCATCTTGCTTTGTTTCCTATTGATGTTCTCTTATCTGGGTCTCAAATGATACTTGCAACTTTAAAAAGTGCATTTTCTAGGACATCTCTTTTGAAGGACAGGGGTGAAAGTAAGCCCTTCTCTCCTCCCTCATTCATCCTTTGCAGCAGGGTTGACTTGGAAGCCTAGGACCCAATGCAGAGCAAACTCAGTCTCCTATGAGTGGGTAAAAACAGGGAGTCTGATTCCTGTCCCCGCCCACATCCCTGAAGATGAAGAGGACTGGCTATTTGTCCAACTGTGCTCCGTGCAGTCCTTCAAGAAGAACCACCCGTATTCCCATCACTGTGTTCCATATCTGTTTGTTTTGTTTTTATTGTCAATAAACTATATCTAGATGCTGGGTAAATTTCTACAAAAAAATTTGACTTAAAAGGCAAACCTCTGGGACCTGCAGAGAGAATAAAGACAAGTAGGTAGGTGATAATGCAAGCCAGTAAACAAACCAGCACGCAGACCATGGGCGAGGCTAGCTGGCTCTTTCAGCCTCCGAAGGGTTGGATATTGGAAGAATCTCTGTAAAGCCAGGAGTCCAGGTCTTAGCCTTGTGGTTTTGGTAACTCTATTTTACCAGTCTACTCAAGGGTTATCAGGATCTGATGTGCTGATCTATTTCTACCAAACCCCACACTAGCTTTATTTTCCCCAAAGCAGAGTATCAATATATTAATTTAGAATGAGAAGTATATCCTTTTAGGACAGGAATATTCAGGTCCAGGGCACTTATATGCATGGTATGATATGCACAAAACTGCTAAATTATCATTTTAATGTGGAGATAACTTGCTAAACATGGAATCAGTCTTGAGGTGTGCTTTCTCCAGGATGTAGCATAGCCTGGTGCATACAAGCTTCGCTCTGCTTCAAAAACTATCTTCCCACAGGAAAAAAATATTACAGCGTGGAGATGCACGGTCACATTCTTCTTTGCTTCTTTTTTTCTAAATTTTACAGAGACTACCACTCATACTTTAAAATTATACCTAAAAATTTAATTCCAAAGTAAGTATGTGATCACTGCAAGAAATGAAAACAAACAAACAAACAAAATAAAACAAAACACTCCAAAGATATGTAAAGTTAATAATCTTGTCTCTGCCACTGGCTCCATACCCAACTCCATAGTAATAAATGTGGTGGGCCTGGGGTGTACAGCCCTCTGAACCTTTCACTGGGATTCCACAAAGATATACAGGATAGTCCGGGATTTTCACATTTCTTTTTATAAATATTATGTAATACACCATACACTGAAACTTACTCCTCTCACCAATGTATCATGGACACTTCCCCTTGCCCAATGGGAATAACTCAGACATTATTTTTAGTAACTGCAACATACGTGCTCATTTCCCAGCCTCCATGTGGTTAGATGTAGCCATCTCACTGTGTCACTGAGGTGTGTTCCATGGAGTACAGGGGGAACCAGCACTCCATACCTGGGCCTGGCCCCTAAAAATCTCCCATGGGGATATCCTTCATTCTCTCCTTCTATCCACCATCTGCAAGTGAAGGCCTCCGAAGCTCCCACTCACAGGTGAGGGAGCCTGGGTCTCTGGATCACTATGTGGAAGGCCACTTGCTAAACCCCTACGCTGACTGTTGTAAGGATGAGAAACAAATTTTCATTGTGTTAGGCTGTTAGCATTTATCTGCCACGGAAATCATAATAATGCATTTAGCATTAATAGTTGCCGTAGGAGGAGGAGCTTGAATGTTTCAACATGAAACCCAAAAAGATCCTCATGGTCCCTACTTGCATGTTAAACTAACGCTCCATCAGCTTTATGGCTAAGGCAAATATTTAGCAAGCCTCAGATTGTGTAGCAGGAGTTTGGATTAGAATGATTGCCGCTTGGTCACAGGAATGTGTGATAAGAGAAAACTGTTGTATGTGTAATGTATGGACAGGGGGAAATAATGGAACACAGGAACAGATGACTTTGGTATTTTGTCCCTGGACCTAACTATGATGTTGCTCAGATTCCACAGTTAGGGCTCAGCATGAGTTGGTGAAGCCATTGACCTAGGACTCCATGTACAGACCTGAAAACACTCTAGAAGAAAACATGCTTACAGGCTGGGTGCAGTGACTCATGCCTGTAATCCCAGCACTTTGGGAGGCCGAGCTGGGTAGATCACTCAAGGTCAGGAGTTCAAGACCAGCCTGGCCAACGTGGGAAACCCCACCTCTAGTAAAAATACAAAAATTAGCCGGGTGTGGTGGCAGGCACCTGTGGTCCCAGCTATTCTGGAGGCTGAGGCAGGAGAATCCACTTGAACCCAGGAGGCAGAAGTTGCAGTGAGCTGAGATCATGACACTGCACTCCAGCCTGGGCAACAGAGACTCCAATTCAAAGAAAAAAAAATGCTTACAGAATACAGTGATTTGAGGTCATACTAAAAAGACCATCAAATCCTAGCCTTTGGGTCAGATATTTCATTAATAAGGATATTAAAGGCCAGCAAGATAGTTCACACCTGTAATTCCAGCACTTTGGGAGGCCAAGGTGGGAGGATTGCTTGAGCCCAGGAGTCCAAGAGCAGCCTGGGCAACAGAGTGAGACCATTCTTCTACAAACAAATTTTAAAAATTAGTCAGCCATGGCCGGGCATGGTGGTTCATGCCTGTAATCCCAGCACTTTGGGAGGCTGAGATGGGTGGATCATAAGGTCAGGAGTTCAAGACCAGCCTGACCAACACAGTGAAACCCCATCTCTACTAAAAATATAAAAATTAGCTGGGCATGGTGGCAGGCACCTGTAATTCCAGCTACTAGGGAGGCTGAGGCAGGAGAATCGCTTGAACCTGGGAGGCGGAGGTTGCAGTGAGCTGAAATCATGCCATTGCACTCCAGTCTGGGTGACAGAGCTAGACTCTGTCTTAAAAAAAAAAAAAAAAAAAAAAAATTAGCCATAGTGGTGCATGCCTGTAGTCCCAGCTACTCAGGGGTCTGAGGCAGGAGGATTGCTTGAGCCCAGGAGGTTGAGGCTGCAGTGAATTGTGATTATGCCATTGCAACTACATTCCAGCCTGGGCAACAGATCACGATACCCTGTGTTGAGATAGATAGAGAGAGAGAGAGAGAGAGAGAGAGAGAGAGGGAGAGGCGTTAAACATATTAAAAGTATAAGCATTTTCTACAACTTCTCAAATTATTATTAAAAAGGCCAAAAGGTGAACATGAATTTCTGATGGGGATGCTAAACAAGGTGAGGACGACACCCTGCCACACTAAGGACCTCCGTTTACCAGATTGATGGATGTCATCCATACAGAATTGGAGAAGGGGTTATAGCTCTCTTTGCTAATGATTTATAAGGTGGGCACTTACTCACACTCAAAATCTTGTAGCTCTTATTTCTAGCCCTTCTTTCATTCCACCAACTTGGACTCCTGCTCAAAAATATTCAGTGCCTCTCTGTTGCTTGTGGAAATAGATTTAGACACTTCTGCTGGGCAGTAAAGGCCCTTCTCAGTCCAGGACCGATCTATTTGTCCAAATATATTTTGTATTAACTGTTGGCTAAGACCTGGCCCCCGTCTGGGGCAGGGCCATCCCTAGGACATGGTCATTCCATGTGCCATGTCCATTTCTCATTCCCAGCCCTAAGCCTTTCCTCTTCTCCACACATCCAATCCCACTGGTGCCATGAGCAAAACTCAAGGTCTCTCAGTCCACCTCCACAGAGCAGTCTGACTCCCTCCCTCCAAATTGCAAGAGAATTGGGTAGCAGGTGATTTGATGAGTGCAGTTGCACGGGACCTCACATTCAGAAGGACCATGGGCCTGGCTTCTCTGCCTAGACCCAGATGCTGGTACATTCTGGTCTCACTCATGTAACAAGTATTTATTGAGCCTCTAGGAAGTATCAGGCACTGTTCTAGACACTTGGAATATATCAGTGAACAAAACAAACAATGATTTTGTGAAACTTACATTCTAATAGAAAGAATCAGACCATTAAAGATAAACTTTATAAATAAGTAATAAACAATGTTAGAAGAGAATAAATACTATGCAAATATAGCAGAATAAGATAAGGTCAGGGGTTCTTATCCTGGAGCTCCAGACTTATAAGGGGTTTACGGATAGAATTCAGGGGATCTGTGAACTTGGATGGGGAGAAAATGACATCTTCATTTTCATTAGTCTAAAACCTTCAAATCTGACTGTAGACAACCAACCTCAGAAGCCATAGCAATACCTATAACTTTGTTACCAATTGAAATCACAGATATTTTGTATCAGATTGACAGTTGTTGCAGATTTCTTGAACTGTTATTTACATTCATCACTACTTTGTAGCTATTGAACCTGTGGTTAAATCTTGTTACTTAATGTGTCAATAAAGAAACATACATTTAGTAACTGTTTCTCAAAATTGTATCAATAAAGAAATACACATTTAGTAACTGTATCTCAATACAATCCACTTCTTTTGTAGTCTTATCTGTTTTTCCATGCTTTTAAAAACATTATTCTGAGAGGCACCCCTAGCCTTCACCAAACTGCAGAAGAATCCACAAGAGAAAGAAAAAAGGTTAAGAACACTAGGTAAGGGAAAATGGGGTACACTAGAGGACAGTGAGGGTGGAGGGGCAAGTTGCAATATTAAATAGGGTTGTCAGGGTAGGTTTCATGCCTAACGCCCTTTGGATCCAAGTTTCTACTGCTTGCTCTCCTTGGCCATCACAGTCATCGCCCTGGCTTTGCCCAACCCTTAGACTCAGGAACCCGGTGACACCATCTTGTTAGTCACCAGTCTCCCAGTTGCCCATCACCTTCCCCTCTCTGGCTACTTAACACAGGGCTTTGCATTTGGAAGTGTGTCATCAACATAATAATGTCAATAGAACACAAAGAAATTCAAGGATATTTAAAAAATCTTACCTGTTGTTATTCTGCCTCCTATTTAAACATCCAACTCAAACTGGCTAGCAGACAAACTAGCTCAAATCAGCCAGGCAGTCCAGGCAGCAAATGTCTCCTAAAGAAAAGATAAGCAAAGCAAATCAGCAGCTTCTGAAAGCTGACGAAGTGTATCACCTAGGGCAAGTGGAATGTGAGCTAAAGATATTGCCTTATGCCAAAAGAAATTCTTGAAAAATTCAAATTCATCTCTCATATACATGCAAAAATCCTCAGAATTCTATGACAAAAAATTCTTTGTTTTTTTTTTAAACTTACACTTTGAAGCTGTTGAATTCTTTTTAAAAGATCTATACACGGACAGTGATAAAACACTATAAGAAAATCACAAAACTAAATTCTTCCTTAAAATGACCAAGATGCTGATGCTGTTAGCTGCAAGTCACGGAATGCTTCGCTAAAGGTGTCTTCATAAAAACAGCTCTCCTCTCAATAAGGCTGGAGGTCAATGGTTCCAAGGCCAGTTTACTTCCTTACCTGCAAGATGTCACTCTAATTGATCCCACCCAAAGCTTCCCATCAGACTATGATACAGCTGAAGAAGAGGGAAAGGAAATGAACCACCCCTTCCCATGGAACGCACTTTTATGGGAAAGGAGACACTTTCTCAGAAGCCTTCAAGTTTTACCTTTTGTCTCATTGGGTCACCTGACCACCACTGGAAACACGATTGATTTGCTGCAATGAACTTAGAGCAATCATAATTTACCTTCTATTTATTTAGGCAGGTTTGTTACTCCCTAAATAAAATCAGAGTTCTACAACTGAGTAAGAAGACACCAGAGCTAGGGAGTAGGTAACCACATGTGTCTGCACATAGACTGAAAAGCTTCGGGACTACGTGAAAGAAAAGAACCCTAGGCTTAAAAAATAAAATTAGGCTTTGAAGCTGTTAGAAGTAAAATGTACATCTGTGAAACTTTTCACTAAAATAAAAACAGATAATCCCAAAATGAAATTCTTCCTTGCATTCTATCACTTAATTATTATATTCCCAGAACTGTTCAAAGCTGTCTAGAAGTATATCCTTCTCATGTATTCAGTACATGTATATGACTCCTTCATACCTGGCACTATGGTGCTTTTGTGGTCTTGTATAGTCTGTCTTTCCCTTCCTTCATATGAATAATTTCTACTAATGAGGTAGACATTATTATCCCACTCTACAGATGAGAAAACTGAGGTGCAGAGAAATGAACTCATTTCCCTATCATCATCCAGTTAAAAGTGATGGACCTGGGCCGGGTGCAGTGGCTCACGCCTGTAATCCTAGCACTTTGGATTTGCCAAGGTGGGCAAATCATGGGGTCAGGAGTTCAAGACCAGCCTGGCTAACATGGTGAAACCCCATCTCTACTAAAAATACAAAAAGTTAGCTAGGTGTAGTGGCTGGTGCCTGTAATTCCAGCTACTCAGGAGGCTGAGGCAGAACTGCTTGAACCCAGGAGGCAAAGGTTGCAGTGAGTCGAGATTGTGCCACTGCACTCCAGCCCAGGTGACAGAGTAAGACTCTGTCTTAAAAAAAAAAAAAAGTGGTGGAGCAAATTTTCCTGATGTTCAGTCCCTGTTTCACTGCTTCCATAGAGGGAAAGGCAAGACATTTAAAAACAAAACAAAAATCTCTAATACTAGAGAGGAAAAAATGTATGCCGCAGAAACAGATGTAAAATATGCTTTGGGGAGAATAAAGGATAAATTACCTCTGGGGATGTGGGCTGGGGACTAGGAAAGGCTTCATGAAGGAAACAGTATGTGAACTGGGTCTTAAAGGATGGGGAAGACGTGGAGTTGAGGACACTCTGGGCAGAGAGGCTGGCATGTACAAAGACAAAGATGTGCAGCCATTGCTTAGGATGCATGAGAGGCAAGAGTGGGAAACAGATTGGGAAGGGAACTTTGGTCAGGTCACGATGGGATTTACGTGTCAGGTTAAGTAAGGTGCTTAAGGTTATTATGCAGGCAATATGGTGACTCTGAACATCTCTGAGCAATGGTATGCAGCGCGCAGGAAGACAATGTTGTCAACAATGAGTTATGTCAATTAAAGAAGAGGGAGTGACTGGAGTCAGGGATGCCTGGTTAAAAAAGAAAAAATAGCGCAGCAGTCCAGAGAGGAGGTAGGGATAGGCTGAATCAGGTACTGGCAGCAGAAATGAAGAGGGATGGAAGAATGTGAAAACCTATTGCAAAACAAAACAAAAAACAATGGGTCCTGGCAGTTGACCTGCAACGGCTGGAGCTGAAAGACTAGGAGGTGGTCACTGTTTACCAGAAGCAGGGAGGAGATGAGCTCCATTTGGTAGAGGTGTCCAAGAAAGCAGGTGGAAATGTGGGACAAGAGCTAAGGAGACTATGTCAATTCAAATACCAGTCTCAGAGATCTGGAGATGAGCTTGCCAAGACAGCAAGCAGAGAGGGAAGAGAAGAGAACTTAGATCCAGTCCATCAAGAAAGGGGGTGAGTGGAGAAGCACATGGCCCCTAAATGATCAGGTTTCTCCCTTCCCGGTTCCCTCCTTTAGCCTCTTAGCCTCTCCCTCCACACCAGTGGTTATAGAACTGCTCTGTGTAAATATATCCCCTAGGGAGTAAATTCAAAATGCAGATTTCCAGGTGCAACCCCCAGAGATTCCTGAGTCAGCGGGTTTGGGGTTCTACCTGAGGAGTCTGCATCCTTAGAAAGCCAGCCCAAGGACCACACTTTGAGAAATGCTGCCATGTAACCTCTCCCTGTGTGATCTCACCTCAAAACAATCTCTATCTCCCATTGAAAACCCTTGGCTGAGCTCCAGTCCCACCTGGCAACTGAGCAACCCTATCTGAATATCTCCTAGGTACTTTCGACTCAACATGTTCAAAATTGAATTCATTTTTTCCCCCACACCTGGTGCATACAGAATAAAGTACAAGTTCTTCAGCTTGGCATACAATCTCCAGCGTCATTCTCGACCACTGTCTCACTTTTGCTTTGCATGTTTAGCAATATTATAATTTCTCACAGATCCTGGACATTCATACCTTTCTATCCTATTTGCTGTCCCCTGCCAGAACTCACAGTGCAGGGCACAGGCATGTCACCTCCTCCACCCCAAACACACTCCTTGCCGTTTGTCCCTCTGTGCTCCCTTTTGTCCACGTGCATCCATTTTACTGCTGCACTCATTATATTGTATCGTGCCCCTTGCTTGGTGGTCTTTCTATGAGCCGGAGCTCCCTGAAAGCCAGGGCTGTGGCGTATTCCCTTTTATACTCCGAGCTCCTGCTACAGAATCTCTAGCACATGGTAAGCTGTAGCTGAACACTTGATGAATTGACTTTCTTTCTTTTTCTTTCTTTTCTTTTTTTGAGACAGAGTTTCCCTCTTGTTGCCCAGGCTGCAGTGCAATGAATGGCGCGATCTCGGGTCACTGCACCGTCCGCCTCCCAGGTTCAAGCAATTCTCTTGCCTCAGCCTCCTGAGTGGCTGGGATTACAGGCACGTGCCACCACATTTGGCTAATTTTTTATTTTTAGTAGAGAGAGGGTTTCACCATGTTAGTCAGGCCAGTCTTGAACTACCAACCTCAGGTGATCTGCCCGCATTGGCCTCCCAAAATGCTGGGATTAAAGGCATGAGCCAACATGTCTGGCTGATGAATTGACTTTCTTGGAAAAAGAAAGAAAGACAAGAAAAAAAAGAAAAAAACAGAGAGAGAGAGAGAAGGAAGGAAAGAAGGGAGGGAGGGAGGGAGGGAAGGAGGGAGGGAGGGAGGAAGGGAGACAGAGGAGAGAGAGAAGGTATGACTAGGAATGTTGAAAGAAAAAAACAAACTAAACAAGCATGTGAAGGGAGGGGAGTGGTTCAAGAGGAGTGAGGCCATTAACAGTGTCTAGCTCAAGTTTGCTTAGAAATCAAGCAGGGGAAGGGCTGAGAAAGGGCACTGGATTGGGCATCTAAGAAGCCACTGGCAACCTCAGAGCAAAGGGTCAGTCCTAACAGTCCTCTGGCATGACAGTCAAGCCCCTCCAGGGCTGGCCACATAACAGCAAGCTCTTTCATGTCAGTGGGAGGAAACATCACAATTGAAACTTCACACTGCACAGAAATGCACAGGTCCACTGATTCATGACTGAGGTAGGCTTAACTTGGCTTAACAGGACCTGTAGGCTTTTATAAGAGCTCTCCTCAGCCTAGCTTTACTTCTACCTCCACCCCCAAGCTTCTTTCTGCACCATTTCTGCCTATCTGTCCGAGTTCAGCCTGGACCGCAGGTCAGGGAAACCAAGCTGTTACCTATTTCCCATTATCACAGAAATTTCTCTGCAGGGTTGGGTTGCTTCTCTGAACTGCTTCTCCTGTGCAAATCCATCCTAATCTGCCATTCCTGCAACCTCCAACTAAATCACCCTACCTTCTGTGCACCTCCATTACAGCTTCTTTTCATTCATAGGCTGATTGCATTTTTTTTTTTTTTGCCATAATTCCTTTCTGCTGAATGCTCTTATCGCATCACTTTGCGTTTCCTGCACCCCTGTTCAGGTGTCTGATCATTTTTCTTCTAGGAGCAGAAGCATAAAATGAATGATATTTCCCTATTCCCCTGATTTTGTCAGGGTAATTTCTCCAAGACTGCCATTTCCACAATGAGATTCCCTTTGCCCTGCCAAGCCTCGCTCTCCCCTTTGCCCTTAAAGCCACAGCTCTATTTTTCCTCATTGGAATGCAATGTCTACTCTTTTAAATTCTCTGTGAGTGTAATGTCTTGTCACTGCAGCTTTCAGTTAAAGAGTCTTGCTATTAAATACTACTCTGTTACAAATTGTATCATTGAAACCGATCAAAGCTTTAAAACAGAAAGACAAAGTAATTTCTTAAGAATAATCCAAACAAAAATAGGTCTCTATCATGACTTGTTAAGAAACAGAATTATAAGAAAAGGAGAGGAAGAAGAAATAAAGAATGTGTGGAAAAGATAGAAAGATACAGAGAAAAAGAAAATTAGACACAGCCAGAAAGAGAGGAAAATAGAAATAGAGCAAGAGACCAAAAGAGAGGTGTGATATCAAAAGACAGAACTTGAGATAGTGACCTACCTCCCCCAGGCACATCCTCGAGAGAGAAACCACAGGCTCAGACATGGAAAATAAAGAGCTGTCAGGAAAATATGAGCAACATACACCAAGTGAGAATAAGATACAAGCCACACAGACATCATGCTATGAATACCCTAAGAGTAATACAGACATACACACCTAAATGCATACACCAAAAAGAGGGTTATCTCTATCCTGCGGCCTTGAAGATATTGTGATGTTGTGCATTTTCACATCTATAGGCAAAAATGAAAAAAAACAAAGACGCTTTTTTCCATATTCTGTAAGCAAAATGAACTTGAAATGAGGTCAAAGCTCCCCCATGTTCACTCTACCAACTCCCGAGAAAGATGTGACTTGTACCATTCTGTAGAAAGGCAGATTAAGGAGAGTAACTGGTATGGATGGTTACTAAATCCTTTCCAGTTTTCTTGCCTTTATTATTGTTTCTCAAAGCACCCTGAAGTTAAATCGTATTTTGGAAATCTAGAGTTCCATGTATTGCAAAAAAAAAAACCAACCAACCAACCAAACAAACAAAAAAAACAAGTGACTTATTAAATGATTGATTAAACTCCTTAGAACACTGAATGCTAACATATTTACTAAATAAATAAAATACAATGCACACTGTCTCTAGCCAAATGGGACAGCTCCCAGACCCCTCTCATTGTCTCAGGCCCATGACTGGCCATGCCTTCTCTGCTTGGAGCACTCTGTGCTGTTCTCTTCTGCTACCTGCCTAGCTCTCTCCATCCTTCTGCCATCTCCACCCATAAAACAGGACAGATTCTTTCAGGTGGAATTTAAGAAACTATATTTCCCTCCAAACTAGTTTCACCAAAGTCACTATGCAACTCTTGTGGCTAAATCCAGTGAATGCCTTCCTGCTTTTTTGTTTGTTGTTTGAGACAGAGTTTTGCTTTTGTTGCCCAGGCTGGAGTACAGTGGCGTGATCTTGGCTCACTGCAACCTCCGCCTCCTGGGTTCAAGTGATTCTCCTGCCTCAGCCTCCCGAGTAGCTGGGATAACCCGCACTGCCACCACGCCCGGCTAATTTTTTGCATTTTTAGTAGGGACGAGGTTTCATCATGTCGGCCAGGCTGGTCTCGAGCTCTTGACCTCGGGTGATCCACCCACCTTGGCCTCCCAAAGTGCTGGGATTACAGGCGTGAGCCACTGCACCCGGCTGCCTTTCCACTTTTATCTGATGTGGGCCTCTCAATAGCATGCAGCACTGTTGACTTCGCTAGGATGTTGAGGAATTCCCCTGTCCTGGCTGTCCTGTAACTTCTCTGCCCTCTCCTCCATGGGGAGCCCTTTTTCCTCTTCCCATGCCTCAAATACTGGTGCTGCCCAGGCTCTGTTGCGGATCATCTCTCCTCCCAGCTCCCATGCTCTCCTTCAGTGACATTTCACTGTTAGGTTTATACCTTGCTGTCACTTGACTGCAGTCACCAGAGGGAAAGGAGACAATTAGTATACTCAGTCTGCCAATTCATGAAAGAAGATCTAGGCTCATTTCGAGAATATTTTTCCATTATATGATACCAACTATGCTGGCTCAACTGAACGCAAGTTTTGCATCACATGTGTACAGCTTCAGTCATGGTGGGCCGAAGAGGAGGTGAGTGTCTGTCTGTACGGCTCCGTCTTGTTCCCCTTTTATGGGACTCTATTTCCTTGCCCAAGATGGTTACCTTCTTATGGGAGGGAGACTACTGGTAAAATGTTTTCAGTTGACACAAGTGATCTTCATTTTAAGACTGCCTAGAATCACTCACTGCTAGACAGCAGCTGGGATGTACTTAGAGGCAGTTAGTGAATGCTGGTCAGTGCTGAGTTCAGAGGCAGCCCTACAAAGCAGGGACCTATAAAGCAAGATGCTGCCAATCCAGTTACGAACACAGGGTACCCTGTGGACGACAGAGTGAGCAACAGCCAGGAAATGCTCTGTGAGCCTAGGGAAAGATGAGACAAGAGTCAGTGGAGTTGGTCACAGGGAGGTGTTAGAATAATACTAACTTTTATTGAACCCCTACTATGTGTCTGCACTGTATACAAAACTCTCTCTCTAATCTAACCCAGCCTCAGGGGCTGTGGTGAGGACTATATGAAATGCCTTTTATCAAGTTCTTACTGTTGTGCTGCACACCAGAGAGCATGCGACACATTGCAGCTATCATCCATTGAACAAGTACGTGTGCAGTAGTCACCATGTGCTGGGCAATGCACAGTTACTGGACGTACGATACCAAGCAAGAAAAACATGGTTCCTGTCCTTATGGAGCTTGCAGTCTAGAGATGCCCTGTCCAAGATGGTAGCCGCTAACCACCTGTGGCTATTAAAATTAAAATAAAAAATTCAGTTCCTCAGTTGCACTAGCCACAATTCTTGTGCTCCACAAACATAAGTGGCTACGCTGCCCTTATGGCAGCAAGTTCTATTGGCCAGCACTAGAAAGGGGCAGAGAGACAGCAGGGAGTTACATACCTGTGTGGTGAAGGCTGAGATAGACATTTATAGATGAAAAAGGAGAATGTTACTCTTATTCTTCTTTCTCATAATCAAAACACAGAAACTGAGCTCAGAGAGGTTAAGCAATTTGACCAAGATCACACAGTTAAGTGGAAGAGCTGGGATTTGAACCTAGGTCTGACTTATTCTCATGCTACCTTGGACTGTTTTGTGGAGGAGGTGAGCCAGACACAGGAAGAAGCTGGTTAAAGAGAGAAGATGGAGAAAGCACCCCACTGGGACAGTGGGTGGGAAAGTGACAGCTTGGGCAAAGGCACAACGACAGTGATGGGTGAGGCTGGCAGTGGACTACAAGTAAACCAGTCTGGCTAGAGAAGCAGTGCCTTGCTGAACTCACGTCCTTAGAAAGCTAAACTAGGACTCACCTGCCTTGATGAAAAGCCAAGGCGCTAGAAAACTCAACCCCACCTGCAGAGGCTGAGTCCTTAGAGGATGTTAGCCAGAAGCATGGCATGGCCAGAACCACGTATTATGAAGATGGCAGTATTTAGGATGACCTAAGCCAAAACTAAAGTTAGGGAGACTGGTTAAAGATTGCAGAGAGGTTAGAAGGGAAGGAGATAAATGACAGGTGTGGAGTAAAGAACACCAGAGTGAGAGAAGAGACCTATTTCTAAGCTTCAATACTGTGTGACATTGGGCGATAGATTTTACTTCCTTGGACTTCATTTCTTCAACTCTCAAAGGGCAGGGCTGGCCCAGATGACCTCTGAGGTCCCTTTTAGCAACAGTAGCCTGGGATTCTGCAAATGTGAATGGCATTAGGTTGAGAGAAGTGGTAGGAAGTGTAGCATTGATTGTGGGGGCAAGGAAGACGGCAGAGTCCAAGATCACACAGGAAGGGGCTGTGATGTGCCACTAACAAAGTGTGAAAGAGCTTGCCTTTTGGGGAGGGGGAATGGAGGATGGAGAACGGAAAGGATAAGAAGTAGTGAGAAAATCATTGGGTTGTATTCAAGAAAGTCATACAGTGTTAGAGATCATTATTTTACACCTTAAAAAGATAGCTTCTCAACTTTGTTAAACCCACGATCCACAGTCGGAAATAAAATTGACATCATGGTCCAGTACACTTGTCCAGTACCTATAATTGAAACAAAAGGTTTATGAAACAATAGTTTCCCTTACTAAGGGCAGTGGATTCTAATATTTTCTATTGGATTCCATTTCATTCTTTTTTAAAGCCCGTTGCCATCCGCTGCATTTATTTTATGATCTATTAATGTGTCACGACCCACGGTTTTAAAAACAGTCCCTAAGAGGAGACTCAACAAGTCTTCCTAAGTTGGAGGGGATGGAAGGGCATCCTATCCAAGCATACGGGAGACAGCTGGAGAGGCAAACCTGGAGAGGCTCTGAGCCGGGGAGAGTTTGGAGAATGTTTAGCGGAAGCCCTGATCGGAGAGAGCGCTGAGAAAAGCGAGGACCCAGACAGTTGTGAGCTCCCATTCAAGTGATGGGGGGCGGGGGGCGGGGGCTCGGGACAGTGTAGACGCGAGGAGGCGAAGATCAGGGTGGCTTGGAAGCCACATTCCGGCAGGAAGCCGGCGACCACCCCGGGGGCTGCGTTTCCGCGACGTGCACGGCAGGTCTTGGTGCCTCTGACCTCGTGTGGCTTTCCGAAGCTCCTCCACTCACCCGCCCTCCCTGGGAGCACGGCGCGCTCCCACTCCTTCCTTCATTCATTTCACTCCTACCTCCGTGAGCGCCAACCCGCTGCGAGATGGGCGAACCACTTTGCCAGCCGGGGGCTCTCCTTAGGGTCGGTTCCCCCCCGGGCCAGCACGCGCGCACCCTCGCACACACACACGGGCGCGCGCGCACAGACACACGCGCGCACACACACACACACACACACACACACGAACACACACACACAAAGTTCTGGGGCCCCTCTGCGGACCGGCTTGGCTGCGCTGGGCTCAGAGCCGTGCGCCTGCCCGGCCCAGGCCGCCCCCCTAGCGGCTCCCCGGAGCCCGCCCCGCGCCCAGTCCCCCCCGCGCTGCGCGGCCGCCCCTCCCCGCGCGGTCCCCTCCGGCCGCCGGCGCGGCTCTGCCCTTCGGCTCGGCCTTCCCCGCCTCGCATCCGTGCCATCGGCGCTCGATTGCGCGCGGACTCCCTGTGGCTCTCCCGGCCCCGCGCCCCGCCCCCGCCCGCCGCCCCCCTCCGCCAGCAACTTTTGCGGAGCCCCCGCGCCCAGCCATGCTGAGCTGAGCCCCGCCGGCCCTGGCCGCGCGCTGCCCCCGGCTCCCGCCCCTCCGCGGACCCGCTCGGGGGCCGCGGCCGCTCGGCGCCTCGGCCTCGGCCGCTCCGCCCGCCCGGCCGCCCCGAGCCCCGAGCCCCGAGCCCCCCGCGCCGGGCCCGGGCGGCAGCGGCGGTGGCGGCGGCGGCGGCGCGCCCGGTCCCCTCCCCCGGCGCCGGCCACGGGAGGCGGTGATGCGGGCGCGGGCGGCCTCGGCTGCGCCGAGAGCGGAGACACAGGCTCAAGATGGCAGATTCCGACTGAGGCTGGGGGGGCCGAGCTCGCGCGCCGCTTTCCCGTCCCCGTTGCCATGAACCGCGGACACCCCGGCCCCGATGGCCCCCGTGTACGAAGGTAAGGGGCGCCCGGCCCCGCCGACCCCGCGCCCGCCGCCCCGCCGCGGCCCCCGCAGCTTTGTTCTGCCCGCGGCTCCGCGCCCGCAGCCCCCGGCGCCCGCCCCAGCCCCCACTCGGGGCCCTAGGGGGCCGCGACCCCCTCCCGCGCCCGGAAGATGACCGGGACCCGGCGCCGGCGGGGTCCCGCTTCCAGGGCGGGGAGAGGGGCTGGGGGCGCGGGAGGGGAGGGGGCGTGTGCGAGGGTGGGCGGCTGCCCGGGGAGGGCAGGGGCGCCGGGGAAGGCGGACCCGTGACTGTGCTTTTTATTTATTTGCGATAAATGAAGGTGCTGCGGCTCAGCTTCCACCGCCCCCCCCACGCTACCTCTCGGAGCACCTCCTTTCCACTTCGCTCTCCGCCTCGCGCCCCTTCCCATTTCTCTCCGCGCCCACCCCACGCTCCTTTATTATCCGCGAGCCTCCGATTTTGGGGGGGCCGTGGAATCGGAACGCGCGGGGCTAGGTGGGGAGAGAGGAGAGGGATGAAAAGTCCGTGTCAGAGCCAGGCAGAACAATGAAACAGGCGAAAATCTCCCCGCATTAGCGTGTGCAAGGGGACGTGGACTTTGGGTTTTCCAGCCGGGGAAGCCGCGGAGACGTTTTTCTGGCTCGGTCTGGGTCGACCTGTGTGGTGCACCTTCACCTGGCGTCGGGGTGTTTTCCCCCATTTGACTGCCTTTAGGAAGAAAGAAAAGAATGCGAGGCGGAGAAGCCGTGGGTCTGCCTCGCACACTCTGTTTCGTTTCTCTTCGGTCCGTTCTGTCAGCTTCCAGCCAGAAAGCAACCCAGAATCAACTAAGTTTTTACACTTCGATGTGTTTTTGTGTGCTTGTAGTAGGGGGAATTTTAAACCCAAGTGTGTCTGATTTTTCAGTCGTTTCATCGTGCAAATGTTTGTCTCGTGAAATCATTGAAATCGCAGCCTTCACATACTTTTAGCGTGGGTCCCCCGGCTTTCTTTCGGTTTTGTTCGAATATTCTGTGGGGTGAAATCGCAAATGAGGTACAGGGTTTGTGTGCCACAGAGGAGGGTACGAGGGGGGAGTGTAATCAGCCTATAAATCCGGAGAACAGTTGTGGCCAGTGAGACAGGGAAGGCATTAATAGTTTTATCTCTGTTATAAGAGGCTGATTAAAAAAAAAAAAAAAAAAAACTTATCTGAAAAGAAAATCTGTTATTAGTTCCAGGGCTCCAAATGAATTAGATTTCTGGCCGGAATAAAGTTACCAGTCAGGCCCTGGATAACGAGGCTGTAAATAACCTATGGACTGTAAATATTTTTTTTCAGACTCTCTTAGAAACAAAGGGGCTGTTTAGAAGGCAACAGAGAGATGTTATTCCAGGGGCTTTCCTCTTTGATTCTGAAGAACACAAGGTCCATTTAACCGTTGGACAAAACAAAACAAAATTTCTGATCACTCCACCACTCAGAATAGAACATGCCGGTGGACATGTGAACATGTGGGAGAACCCATGTCGGCCATTCATTGTTCATCTGCGTCTACAGGAGGGGGCTACAGTCAATGCTCCCACTGTCTAGAGTGTTAAAATGAAACAATTTTCTCTTTATTAAGTACCTCCTTGAGACTCCCTCTGCTGGACACTCTCGGTGAGTTGAGAGAAGGAACTTGGCATTGAATTCAGAACTATAGTAAACGGCTGATTTCCCTGTTACTAGGGACCGGGTATGTGAGTTGGGATGTATTTTGTCAACTTTGTGGAAAGCCATCTTGGGAATCGCACTGTTCTCCTGCCCGTTTCATTCTAAATCCATATGGAATGTAGGCTGTCCCGGGGGCTGAGACCTGGCCTCTCCCAGTTCCTAATACATTGTTCCTCCAGTTCCTTAAGCCAGATGAAGAGCTGCAGGTGTGTAGGGTGTTATGTTTAAGAATCGTCATGGATCTCCAAGGTTTCATGAACTGTTTTTATTTGCCAGCCTTCCTTCCCTGTCTCAGGTGACCTCCGTGGTGGCCTTTTTCAGCCCTCGGTTTCCCTCCATCTTGTCCATGTGCCCTCTTCATTATTCCTGCGCTGTGCACCCTTTTGTTCGGGGTGTGTCTGTGTGCACCTTTATCATTCTTTTTCTAATCTTCCTTCTTACCCCACCTCAACTAGCCCACATCACTCTGCCAAAAGCCCAGGTTCGGGTGTTTTTGAAAGAGACTGTTAGACATGCTCGGAACAGACAGGTGACCTCTAGAATCAAGGATTAGATTGCTAGGACCCACATTCACTCACTGTGATGAGTGTGCCAAGACTCTGATGACCTCCTTTCTCCCGCCGTGGTGACATCCGCTGGGTTCAGGGAACCTGATTTTTCCCCTGTCTCAATCAGAGCACGTGGACTCCCTGTGTGCATGTTAAATGAGCAGAGCTTTTCCTGTCGAATTCTCCAAGAGGAGGGATTCCTGGTGGGTTTTGAGCTCCTAAAAAGTGCACATGATTCTTCTCAGGAAGAGTATAATGACATGAGGGGGAATTGTTTCAGTGGGGTGCTACTGCATCAGGCCAGAATGCCAGGCGAAGGCCCAGATGCATTAAAAGAGCATTCTAAACTGCCAGAGATTTAGACAGAAATGCTGTTATTGAAACAAGGTGAATTTGATAATACAAATTAATGGGTGGCAAGGTATAATCGGTCTTCCAGGGCTTGCTTGAAGGATAGGTTTATAAACAGCACGTTTGTTTTTGGTGATTTGGAACTGAACTTCTTTTAAAAAGGTTTATTTTCTTTAGAAGGTTAAACATTTGCCTTGTGATTGCATTTCCTCCATCAACTTGCTTAGCAAGGCTTTTTCAATATCTAGTGCAAAGGCCAACCACCAAGGTCTATATTGCCATGGGTTCTGAATGAGAGGAGCCTAAATTCCAAGTTATTTATATTTCCTCTACCTGAGCTATGCCGTGTTGATTACTGTTGGCTTATGTAAAGGAACACTTCACAGCTTCCAAACACTGTCCTGCTGCAATCTATCATCAGATGGACCTGAAGATGCCTGTCTACCAAGTTGTCTCCCAAGAAATGAGATTCTGAAACATCTTCTGTTAGCAGAGTTTGATGACACATGTCCTAAAATATCCATTCCTGTGTTTAGGTTTTATATTTTAAAAATGAGTAAGTATAAATATTGCTTTTCTTCTTACCACATTTGCATAGTGAGTAAGGTACCTTAATTTTATCCTTGATTTCAGACAGCGTGCTATGATACTTGAATCAGAGAAACCTGAATTTGAAACTAGCCGTATGACTTTGGGCATGTTACTTAACTTCTCTAAGCTGTTATTATTATTATTGAGCTTTATTGGATTGTGCAGGAACTCCATTAGAAACTAGCACATGTAAAGTCTCTGGCTGTAGTAGGCCTTTTCTCAGTGTGTGTTAAATCCCTCTGTCTTCTGAGCTGCTTACAGGCATGATGACTCCAGGGAAAGAATAACCCACAAATAGTTTAGAAAACCAATAATAGCAACATTTCAATTATTAATCTCCTGCAATTCCCTTTCCAGCTTGGGCACCAGCAACAATAAACCCCCTATAGCCATAGAAGAAAGAACCTTCTTTTTACCCCCTCTGTGACCTTTCCAGATTCTTTATTCACATTGAGCTTCTGCTGGTTTCAGGTAGAGAATTTGTCTTCTATAGTGGCACTTTCTGGGCTTCTTGAAAATGTGCAAATAAACTACTGGGGCAGAGTTTCAGGGGCTGTAGCTGAAACGGATACTTTTCAAGAGGCAGTGCCTCTTGGAAAGCATCCCCAAGTATGAAAGATAACCTTTGCCCTTAACAAGGCAGCTGGCTGGGCAAGGGAGCACCGGACGTGGTTCATCAAGCGCCGTCTCCGAGGGGAGGCTCCTCGTCCACCGCAATCCAGGGTCTGCCTCATCATGCATTAAACATCATTTTCCTGCAAAAGACAATGTGGGGCTTTCTGTAAGTTACAGTGGCTCAGATTCTTTGTATTTTATGTTTTATATTTCTTCATCTCTCTCTTTCTCTCCCTTCCTCCCATAGAGACCAGTCTTGGGGAACCACCTTTGAGGTTTGTATGGAGCAAAGCAGGGATGATCAAGAGGGTGTGATATGTGAGCGTTTCTTATTGTTCTCTGAACACGTAATTCGCCCACAATTTCTGGTAGTCTTATTGATGACAATTCAAGGACTTTGGGTTGGTATCAAAGACAGGCTTCAGAATAATGGCAGCACGCTTTGTATAACCACCGATGGGATGTGAACTTGAAAGGCCCAAACTCGCAAGAGTTCCATCTCGTATGACAATTCCCTGTTGGGGGAAAAAAAAGAGGAAAAACCTGGAGTATAGAAAGGTC